GTTGCCAGCAGGTCGAGGGAGGTGATCCTGCCCCTCTCCTCAGCCCTGGGTAGGCCTCCCCTGGAGTACTGGGTCCAGTGCTGGGCTCCCCAGCACAAGAGAGACATGGCACTCCTGGAGAGAGTCCAACGGAGGGCTACAGAGATGAGGAAGGGACTGGAGCATCTCTCCTCTGAAGAAAGGCTGAGAGAGCTGGGTCTGTTCAGCCTGGAGAAGAGAAGACTAAGAGGCGATCTCATCAACGTGTACAAGTATCTGAAGGGAGGGTGTCGAGAGGGTGGGGCCAGACTCTTCTCTGTGGTGCCCAGAGACAGGACAAGAGGCAATGGGCACAAACTGAAACACAGGAAGTTCCACCTGAACCTGAGGAAAAACTTCTTTGCTGGGAGGGTGACAGAGCACTGGCACAGGTTGCCCAGAGAGGTGGTGCAGTCTCCTTCCCTGGAGATATTCAAAACCCGTCTGGACGTGATCCTGTGCAATGTGCTCTAGAGGACCCTGCTTGATCGGGGGGGTTGGCCTAGATGCTCTCCAGAGGTCCCTTCCAACCTCAGCCATTCTGCGATACGGTGGAATGGATTAATTAAAAAATAAATATATAGATTAACCATCTGATTCTAAAAGAGGCCTAAGATAAGCTTGCAATAACTGGAATTGTATGAACATCATGAGGAATATTAATTTTACAGTGGTCTAGAATGGTATTAACTAGAACTGATGTTAGGAAATCCAGTTAAGAAGAAATTGCTAGCAGTACGAGTTGTGAGTCAGTAGAAAAGCTACAAGGCAAATGAATGCTCCAGGAGCAGAATGATTTAAAATGGGATGGAACAAAGCACTAAAATTTATACCACAGGGAATTACCCTGAAAAAAGACAATTTTTTGTTGTTTTTCCTCAGAGTTTCCTAGAGCTAACACACTGCTAGCACTGAGAAACCCAGAACTTAAGCAGCATTTCACGATGTCTCTGGTAATCAGGAAGAACTAACATTTCCATTCTTCAGTGCATAGTATCTCTGAACCTAGCCAAAAGATTACCACGAAATTATTATAACTATAATAACACACTGAATGGTCAGCTCTCACAGCATAAAAACAGTCTTTTCCCCACCTAGGTTACAACGCCTTCACTTATACACTCCCACTACATTTCTGAATCGGGCTGCATATGCCTAAAGGTAATCATTTATTTGTCCACGTCATACTTCATTTTGCAATTATTTTTTCCAGTCTGCAGTAGAGTTTACAGCACTCCAAAGTATGCTCGTTTATTTAGCACTCTGTTTATGCCTTTTCTGTATCATCTGCAACGGTGTTGAATGCAGCATGGCAAAACCAAAAGTCAGTTGTTCAGATTCACTGTAGGCTAGGTATCTGCAACTATCTTTTCTAATTTTTCTGTGCTTTGAAGAGCTATTTAATTGCAGGTAGAAAGAAAACAGCTCATGGTCTGATAACTCACTATGGTGATGGGCACAAAGCTTATTATTTTCTCTGCTAAAAAAAAAAGAACGCATGCTGCGTTCACTGGCCTTCCTCTGTTCCTCCCCCAAACACAAAAGACTTTAATCTCCTATTATTTCATGTAATAGGAACCAGAGGCACTCAGTGTGTAATCCCACACAAAAATGTACTGTTTCTGACGGAACGAGCTGTTCTAGAAGCAGTGGAACCCTGCTTCTGGTTGCCATTTTTCTGGGCAAGGCTCACGTGATGTGACAGACACCTCCAACCATGCTAGAGCAAAACCACAGGAGACGGGTCACATACCTAGCCCATAGCGCTCTCCCTGCCCAGGCCGGTAGTACATCTCACCCCATGGCTGCAATATCACCTTTCCCTAACTCAGGGGTTAGGAGTCGTCCTTACGATCATTCTTATTCCAGAA